TTTCATCTCTGCTCGTTATAGTCATTTGTGTCGAATATCAGTATCAATGTTCTACTTGCTTTTGCCTAGCTTGATTATGAGTCACCTTCTAAAATGAAAAAAAAAAAAAAAAATGGTTTTCGCTGGGGTAATTATTGCTACTGATACTCAGTCAAGCTTGTTTTCTCTGTGTGATTGGACTTCAAGGCTTTATTAACACTCTTGAGTTGGTAAAACCTTTCGATTATATATCATTTTAAAAAAATAAGCAGTAATTGAAACAAAAGGTATTATTGTATGAACTGGTGCGTCCATTTAACTACTTCTCTTTCTTTCTCATTATTATATCAATGTATTTACTTTCCCGTTATTTTGTTTTTGATGTTATTTCATGGTGGTATTTACTATATAACAGTGATGTGAATTTGCTGGCAAGTTAACCTAATTCTCATGAGATAATATATGCAGTGTCTTGCTACTCGCTTTTCCCACTTCTGTACGAAGCCCAAGAATACCCAATTAAAGTTCTACTTCTGCTTCTGCACACTGTTCTGATTTTTTTCGGGTTTTCCTCACGTTTTACTGGGAAAAACACTACAACAATCAAGGGAAGAGACCACAAGCCGGAAAATCCATCTTTCCACATTGGATGGCTCGGGAAATCCTACCTGTTCGGCTTAATAGTTGTTGAGACATGGGGACAGTTTTTGCATCCTATCATTTTTGGTGACCGGCTTCCCTTTTTACCCCTCATGATGATATCCATATATTGTGCTCTAGGAATGGTTTACTCATGGATTTGGCAGCTAAAAATGATTAGCATGGGCACACAGTGAACCCGACAAATGAGAAGAGTTTTCCTNTCATACTTTGCTTGCACACATGGCGATGTTAGGGAATTGCACTCGAAGGCTATAGTGTAACTTCATTTCAACAGACAGATTACACTCGTATAACTTCATTTCAACGGACAGATTACACTCGTAGGCTATACTCTAACTTCATTTCAACGATGGTAAGTTCTTTTCGGAACTTGATCTTGATAATCGACACGAGCATTTTCTGATGCTGCTTTAATTTACAGTTGAGAATTTGGGATCAAGTTTATATTGTTTGTGCATGTGTGTGTATCATAAAGGGCATATATGTCATGACATATCACATTATTTTACTTAATGGGAACTGTTAACAGAGAAAAAATAGATACGTGTAGACATCGTATATTATTTCCTCCAATGCGTTATTTTGTAGGCCATGTTAAGCTGACATGGCGATAACATCGTTAAGGCTACTGTCCCATAAAGTCTGTTCAACAGGATAACTGTCCCATAGGAAGTCTGTTCAACAGGACAACTCATCAGCGAAACGACTAAAAATTGAGAAAAAACCACTAATATTATTTATTTTATTTTTTTTATAGATGAAATTATCTTTTTAAATTCAAATAATTAATCTGCAATTAAAATTTTAATTTTAATATTTGTTTTAGTAATTACATTTTCAACATTTTAAAAAAATAAATTACTTTATTGTTTATTTTATTTCGTGGAGATAAAAGCATTTTTTTTTTAATTTGAAATAATTAATTGTAGTTTCTCGTATTAAAATTTTATTATTTTTTTTCCAAATGATCTTTTGTTGGTGTGTTTGTATGTTTTATGCTTGAAATATTTCTTAAAAAAAAAAGTTAAGTGTTAAGTGAACACATATGAGTCTCCAAGTATGTTTAAAATGAATCTCTAAATATTTTTAAATCAGATTAGGATTATCATTTAACATTCTCAGTCTGGTGTATTTATACTCATTATTCAATGCTACTAAAAACTCGTTCAATTTATTAACAGAATCTCAATAAGAAGTATTAAAAACTCGACAAGATATTACAAGAGTGGTGCATTTAAAAATCAGTTTAACAGACCTACGAAAGAAAATGTGTGCATTGTAAGAAGAATTTGACTGTTCCTATTCTTACTGTCAACGCTGATATTGGGGGAATCAATTATCCAATTAAATACGAACACGTGGCATGAACATTTAACATTGACATTCAGTACACTGGAGATGCTCTAACGGTTCACCTTTTCCCCTTCCCTCCCCTCTAAAAGCTCTTTTCAAACAAGTTCAGATCCTTTTACATTATCTTTCCCTCCTCTTCCTTGAACCAAACCTATTCTTAAATTGCCCCTTATAATGTAACTAGTTTACTTTTGTTCTATTTTCCTTAGAAAAAAATAATTAATCTTCCAATTTAAAAAAAAAAAGTGGTATAAACTCGAATGCATGAAATTGACAATTTATCGTTTGAATATTAAGTGCCTAACATGACATAATTTTTTTTATTTAATTAATTTTAATCGAATTTTAAAATTAATTTAGAAATTTGAAGTTCATGAAAGACATCCTAAATAAGGTATAACATATTGATTTATGATAATTTTGTCTTTAATCAATTGCGAAAAAGTATGAGACATGTATGCTTAAAAGAAACCTCATTTCTTATTTTTCAGTTATTAATATATTATGCTATTTTCAATTAAAATGTGTCATTTAAAAGTTTTACAAAATGAGATTTCTTAGACTATGTTTGGTAGAACTAGCTGATAAGCTAGCTTATAGCTTATTAGTAATTTTCGAGTTTATAGCTTATAGCTTATGACTTATAGCTGAAAAACTAGCTTATATGATAAAAGTGTTTGATAAAATTAGCTGATAAGCTAGCTGAAATAAAAATTTCAACGAGCTTATTTGAAAAGCTACCAAAAGAAGCTTATCAAATAAGCTCGAGCTTTTTAAATAAGCTTGTCCTACCAAATGGAGCTTATTTAAATACAGGGAGCTTATAAGTTAATCAAATAAGCTATAAGCTAGCTTATTTGTCTACCAAACATAGCCTAAATGAAATAGATCATAAGATCTAATCGTCAGAACATAATTAGTGATCCAATGCATCGATAAATATCTATTTTCTTGTGTGCTAAGAGCCAAGATCTTTAATTGGATTTTCAACATCTACATTTTCATAAAACTCATCTTCATAACCTTTTAAACACGATCTCTCTTTAGAAATTGCATATCTTGATAATTTTAATAAATAAATAAATAAATTTTTTCTTGTGCACATTTTCGCCCACCTTATTCGTGTCAACTACCAGTGAGTCAATTATCAAAAAATTTATAAATCATATCATATTTTATTTTTCTTTAGATCTAGTGCAGAGCCCGTGCGATGATCGGGCTGTACAATTTTAAGGCTATTTATCCAGGCTTATAATTATATACATGAATAAAGAAAAATGTACGGGATATATATAGTATGTGACCCGTGATATATTTATTTGGGGAATATTCTATTATAACATGCAATATTAAATAAAAGTTTCATAATACGTAGGAAAATTGTACAATAAGGCAAATTCTAGATTTTAAAAATAAAATAAAAAAAAAATCAAAAATATACGTTTCATATTTCGAAAAAAAAAAAAGAAATAAAAATAATTTGGCTTACAGTTTTATCATGCAGAACCAACTCGAGATAGGATTTATATGTGCTGCCCCAGTCTTGGAAAAACATTCTTACAATTCGAACTTTAAGCATAGGTCTATTAGACCTATTAACTTGTTTGATTAAGCCAAATCCTTGATTCATTGTTTTGAATGAAAGATTGATTGAGGATATTTTTTTCGCAGGATGTTGAAAGTGAAGAAGACGATGACTCAATATTTTGAGATTTATAATTTATATTTGGTAGGGTATAATCAATATCTGTTAAGATTTTCAAGAAAAAAAATCTTGATATACGAAAAATCATATTATATGTAGATGAACAAATCATATTAGATTTTCCATACAATTAAATAAGATTTTTTGTACAAAGATAAGAAGGAATTTTAAATCCACACAAACTATAAATATTAGATACATTGATTTATGTAAATCTATACTTATATAGACAACCAAACCCTTCAATTTAGGCTTGATATCTAATTTATTTTTGGTAAAATCAAGATTTTATCTTCCGATCAAATTTGCCATTTTTTGATTTACGTACATTTTATTTTGTACCGATTCTATGAGAAAAAACAATTAAATAAAAATTAATTGATGAAAATAGAATGCATTAATTACATTTGACTTTTCTTCCTACTAATTCTAGTAAATGGGATAACTCTTTATATAAGTATAAATAAGAAAAAATAATAAAACTTACTATTTATAGATGCTTAAATCAATTTCATAGTCCTATTTAAGTAAAAATATGTTTAAATCCACTCTATATATAATTTCAGAATACGCTGAGCCTACGTGGCATACTCTCATGCTTCGGAATCTTATTTGGCAAAAAATCATGCTTTGGAATTAGGCTTGGATATAAATTAATATTATAACAACATTACAATTCATACTTCACATTCAAAATACATTTATGAACATTCCTCACCAATCTTATCATGAAGTTTTCACACTAATAAAACTTCTATATTAATAAACTAAATAATTTAAAATTCAATTTATATAGACTTATCTTATGATCAAATCACGTGTACATAACCTTGGTCATCTTTCTACACGGAAAAAATTCTAAGCACATAAACCAATTAATTTATTATTCAAATCATTTGGACTTATCTTATCATCAAATCACAATTTAAAGTTATTCAAATTCATATTTTAAATTAATCTCATTATTATGAAGTATTATCAAATACACCATATTATTTCTATTTATTTAAGATATATATTTTTGTACCTATGTAATAGCAAATAATATCGATATTTTATATGATATAAGTAAAAAAATTCAATACGGGTTGACATTTTCATTTAATGTACGGGTGTTTAATGATTATGATTGAAAAAATATAATTTGACAATTTAAGTAAAACCCAAAGTAATGTTTTATATAATATTAAATTATTTTTGTTTTTAAAAAAATAAAAAATTAATATTTTTTATAAAAGCTTTCTAATTTAATACCCGTATATAATATTTTCAAATAACTGCTTTGGTGAAATATGAATTAGTGAAAATTCGTGGAACTTCAGAATTTTATGAAGCACTGGATTAACAGTTGTAGCTAAACACTACCTATGCGCAAACCAGCAAAGCTCACCTCATCGACGTCCCGCAAATTTGCCGTTCATTTTTCCGGCGAGATCCTGATCTTCCCGTTGGAAAAGCCGCACCAGATCCGAGTTTGAAGATCCGACGCCGTTTTGAATCTCAGACGACCCCAATCTGACCGATGGCTCCGGTTTCGGCTCTTGCTAAGTACAAGCTAGTGTTCCTGGGAGATCAATCGGTCGGGAAAACGAGCATCATCACTCGCTTCATGTACGATAAGTTTGACAACACTTATCAGGTGAGCGTTCAGTTTGATGCCCGAGTATNGAGTCTTGTGCTGCATTCGTTTAAGAAAAAAAAGGCATAGATGTAGGGATCTGATCCGTTTTATGCCTGATTATTCGAATTTCTACTGTTTTCATGGATTAATATGTTTTTTTAGCTGCTGGTCTCTTGTTCGTCGCCTACAATTTGTTTCTGTAGTCATCTTCGGTTTTTAGCTCACTTCTGTCAGTGATCTTATAGTAGAGATTGTTCTCAGTTCAGAGTAGTTGATGATTGTGCTATAGCTATTGCGTTGTGCAGTGATGGTATGGCGGTGATCATGATTTATTGTTATATAATGTAACTCGTAAGCTGTCTCATATGACTCGGTGGGTGTCAGAAGCTCGATTGTAACTCCAGCCGAATGACGTGTGGAAAATTAAGAAAGTATATCGATGAAAAGTTTCAGGAAGGCCCTTTTGCTTCGTTCTTTTCTTACTTTTTCCGGTGATCTTATATGGAGATTGTTCCGATTTTCTTAGTTCAGAGTAGTTGATGATGGTGCAATATCTAGGTGGTGCGGTGATAGTCTAATTTGTTTATGGTGGTGATCATGATTTACTGTTATATATTGTAACTCGTAAGCTGTCTCCTATGACTCCATGGGTGTCAGAAACTCATTGGTAAATTGGTGTCTGCAAAATTGAAAATGTATATCACTGAGACGTTTCAGGATGGCTGTTTCGTTTCGTTTTTTTTTTTCTTTTTTTTTTTTTCTTTTTTTTTTTTTTCTGTTTTATTATTTGTAGTGATGAGATCAATAATTAAGTAAATGCGTTAAAGTGGGGATGGGAATCTCACAGCCCTATCCATTGTTTTTCCTGTGTGATTCAATTGCAGGCTACTATTGGCATTGATTTTCTTTCGAAGACTATGTACCTTGAAGATCGAACTGTACGTCTACAGTTGTGGTAAGGGATGATTCCTAATAGAATGTTCGTCTTTGACCAGTATCATATAATGCAGTCTTCTTGAGAGTTTCTTGCCATGCAGATCCTTTGCATTTCAACTTTGTAAAGATAGTGATTTTCTGTAAAAAAATGTCTGTCAAGTAGATGTTGAGGCATCATTCCCCTGTTTTTTTGGTACACATGCTGAGTTAAGGTAGTCACTGTGGATGGTGGAAAGAACAGATTGTGTCTTCTTTCCATATGTCCAGACTTGACACTGTTTTCTGTTCGTACAGCACCAAGTATCTGTTTCATTTTTTCATTTTCTTGTTTAGTACAGTTCATTCATCTGGTCCCTCAAGCAGTTTGCACCAGATATGAGTTTACTTCTTGTGCTAGTTTGTGATGTGAACTTGCATGTAGACTTAGTCATCTTCCCTAATCCCCATTCAGCAATGTGTTTTACGGTTGCTTTTCTTCAGTTTTTTGGACGACGAACCAATTTCGCTTTTCTCCAGTTTCTCCACTTGAGTTGTTTACTTTACAGAAGATATAATCTGTATTTTCTTGTATGTTTCAGGGATACTGCCGGACAAGAAAGATTTAGGAGTCTCATCCCAAGCTATATAAGGGACTCCTCTGTTGCAGTCATCGTATTTGATGTCGCAAGTATTGGATTTTCGATTCTTAAATTCTTAGTACATTTCCAGTTTACTTAATTTTTATTTGGACTTTCTGTGTGCCCTCCAACTTGACTGGCATGATATAATTTAGTTCCTTTTGCATAATACCTTTACCGATTATTAGGTAGACAATCTTTTCTCAACACATCAAAATGGATTGAGGAAGTCCGCACTGAGAGAGGAAGTGATGTTATCATTGTGCTGGTTGGAAACAAAACCGATCTGGTGGAGAAGAGGTATGGTTTTATCTTTCTGTTTATTTGTGGTTTTCCTGGTCTTTGAGGTATTTATTCCAAACTTTAAGGTCTGTCATGGAGCAGAAGAAATCTATTTGAAGAATTCGTCCAGTTATACTGGTTACGAGAACATGAGAATAGATATCATAAAATCAAAACAATGTTTTTCACCAGAATGTTGCAGGGCATTTTTCTTCAATTAGTTCTTTTGCTTTTTCACCAGAGGATGTAAAGCTTATTGGAAGAACCAGTTGAATCTGTTCACAATAGCAATAAGCTACAGTAATCCCAACTCTGCACAATATAAAACACTAGCCGATTGGCGGCTCACTTTTAGGTCTTAACCATATTTATGGTATAAAAAAAATGCGAAAAGACAAGATTTTTCGTTTTTTTGGTTGAATCAAAAAGAAAAGGTAAAAGTTGGTAGGGTAGCCAAGTCTAGAGTTTATTTCTATTACTGCTTAAGATGAAAATGATCATGATCCCTATAATGATTTTACAGTGTTATAACTGCACATATATCATTATTCTGAGTTCTGAGCAGCATGAACAATTATTCATGTTGTGTTGCCTGGTCCAAATAAAGTAGATTTTTACATTGCGTGTATATGATACGACTTGGGAGATTATTTATTTGTAAGATGATTATTGCCTCATGCAACCATCACTTTTTGTATCCAGGCAAGTTTCTGTAGAAGAAGGAGAGGCCAAAGCACATGACCTTAATGTCATGTTCATTGAAACTAGTGCCAAGGCTGGTTTCAATATTAAGGTAGCGAAACACAACCATTTCTCCTCTTGTATTTAGTTTGTAAAAATATTTACTTCCCAACTTCTGAAATCACTTAAATTTGAAATGGAGGATAAAATATAGTACATTGTTAATGTTTATACTTTATCTTAGTGCCACTTGTTTCTGGTTTTCCCCTGGATTTCAGTATCTTTGATCAAAACTACCACTATATATATCTCCTCCCGTGACAATTAAAAGCTGGTATTGTAAAGATTTTTTAAGATTTTAGAAATCCTGGTAACATACAGGGGCGTATTTATTTTGGATTTCTAAAGTCTTTCTAAGATTTTAGAATCATAGTATATTTATCTTATAGACTTTTTAAGAGTTTTTTTAAGTCTTGAAGTATTCAAGTGTGATTTTAAAAAGTCTTAAAAAGTTTTTTAAGTCTTGAAGTATTCAAGTGTGATTTTAAAAAGTCTTAAAAAGTCATGAGGTATTTACTTTTTAAATTTGCATATATTTATATGCCAAATCCTACTACCAAATCCCACATTTAGACATAAGATTTATAAGGATTTCCCTAAAATCAACGAATCTTAGAAAGTCTTGAATTTCAAAGTCTTAAAATGTCACTCAAATCTGAAATGAATACACTCTCCTTCGACTTTGAGGTTCAATTGATATTTCAAAAAAGTCTTAAAAAGTCATTAGATATTTAACTTATATTTAACATTGGTATTTGTTAAGACTTCTTAAGATTTGTTGATATTCCAAACACAAATTACATATGTCAAATTCCTCCACCAAATCCCACCTTTAAACCTTCAAGATTTTTTTAGGATGTCACCAAAATCAACAAATCTTAAAAAAATCTTGGACTTATTAAAAAAGTCTTAAAATGTCACTTAAAATTTCAAATGCTTACACCCTCCTTAAAGTTTAAACACTTCAAAAACGACACTTGAGGTTTGAAACCCTCTATCGTTTCTGGGAAAAAAAAGGGGGTTTGAAACCCATCTTACATATCCTTTTCTCTTATGTGAGTTGACTCGACATGATTATCTATTATCCCAAAGTATTAGAAATAAAACCCAACTGTTCGTCCAATTATTTTTGCCATTCGGAATTCGGAAAACAGAAGAATCTAAAATAGCACGTGGAAGACAAAAAATTGTAAGAATACTTGATAATGTCAACAAAATTTTAATCGGATAACCCCACAAAACCGACATAAATAGTTTGTGGTCTTGTCGGTAAAATTCTTACTTTTTGCAGGCTTTATTCAGAAATATTGCTGCTGCATTGCCTGGAATGGAAGCAATATCATCCGCTAAGCAAGAGGATATGGTCGATGTCAACCTCAAAACTGGCAGCACAAATGCACCTCATTCGCAGCAGTCGGGAGGCTGCGCCTGCTGATATACTGCAAAATTAACAGGAAAAAAAAGCCAGTTTGTGTGTTCGGATGTTTTGGGGTGTGATTTTCTTAGTTCTAAGTTATGTTTGTGAATGCATATATGATATCTTGTATCATTTTTAGGTGGACATTGGCGTTTGGGACAATAGATAGTTTTCTTAGTTGGATATGACAAATGTTGTGTTCTTGATTTACTATCGTGTTTTCATTCTACTTATTTTATTTCATCATAAATATGATTATAAGTCTAAGTTCAATTAATCATATCGTGTTCGTGTTTATGTCGGTTTAATTTTGATTCTTCAATGACATCTGCCTACTACATTCTATTTCATGAATCACGGATGGTTCCATAAAAAAACCATCTGATGACTCCGTCTTGCCTTACAGATCGGTTTACAACCTTGTCTTCAGGCGAACTTCTAAAATCTTCATAGAGTTTTGAGAGCAAGATTAGGTATTGATTTTTTTATTCGTTTATTGTTCTGAATACTAACTGTCAATCATTATTGAGTAGGACATAAATAAGGACGATCATTTTGAAACTGCTTGATTGTTTGGTCGAGTGTGTATCATAAAAAACAATTCTCATAACAGAAAAAGTTATCAATTTTTGACCAATTGGACATTTTTTGTTTTTTTCTTCTCAAGTCTTTTTCTCAGGAAACCCTCTCTTGCACTTGTGTATAAGGTGAATAATCACAATGTACTAGTCCAATATTGTTAATTTTCTATGGAAGAATACATGTTTGAAAATTCAAATTCAAGTTCAGAAGAAAGAAATAATAGAAAGAGTCAATATTAGTGTTTCCAATGATATTGGCATATCCTTTATCTTGACTTCTATTAATGTTAATTCAATGGGTCAACTGAGGTATCCCAAACTAAACGCTGGACCTCATATGATTGGAGATAGNAATAAATATAAACTTTGGAACCTAATAGGATTCCAAAAGTTAAAATGAATATCGATTGTGTAACATAATTTATATAATATCATAATTGCAATTCAAATAAAATAAAAAATATACATCCAATAAACACTTTCAAGCATCATCAAACATTTTACCCACCACACTAACTGACCAATCATAAAAAACAACTACACTTCACCAAACTCCAAACACTCAGAAACTTGCAATTTACATTTCACATGGGGATCAAATGCTTCACCCACTATATTTGTAGTTTTTTGAGCCCACCTAAAAACAAAAGTAGTTCAGCTTTTAACAAATAAAATGAGGGGCATATATGAGAATCGTTATGCATAACCAAAAAAAAGAATTAATTGTTAGTCAGTATACTTTTTCAACATATAATATATAATTTTTAAAATTAAAATTATAATACTCTTAAAAATATCAAAAATAAAATCAAGACATTTTGGTAGACCCTATTCATACAAGAATGAGGCCAAATAATGGTATGCGTAATAATAAAATGCTAAAAATTGCTTGCATACAGAAAGAAGAAAAAAAAAAAAAAGGGGAACAGACGAGAAAATTCAAAATTAACAGGACCAGTTGGGGGTAAAAGCGTAACTATATCCAGGTGACTATGGCCACGGTCAAATGTCAAACGCATTGATCAACGGGTAGGATCGTAATTGTACCTCCCAAAATCCGCAAGCTTACGAGATCGATTCTTGCAATACGACGTCGTCGCGGAAAGGCGCGGCTTCACCGGCACCGAAACCCTCGATTCCCCGGCCACTACAACCTCCGGCGGCAAGCCTTTCTGGCTCCAGTGGCGGCTCGGGCTGGCCCGAACCAGAGGGCTGAGACAGAAATTCAACCCCGAAACGCCTTTGCAGAGCGCCGCCGCCGCCGCCCTCCCTCCGCTCCGCCGCACCTGCGCCGGCGTTCTCCCAGCGGTCTGCCTCCATCCCTGGGAGGATTCTGACGAGTACCCGCTCGATCCGCCGCGATCCTCGTCGCCGGAGTGTCTCGCGGGAGACATTCCCCTGCCTCGATTCCCGCGGGTTCTTCTGGGCCGCGATCCGCCCTTGCTGCCGTCGATTGAGGATGTCCCGGCGTTCTTGTCCCGGGGTCCGGTGAAGAAATACGTCGAGAACCAAGAGGGAGAAGGGACCGAGCAAGAGGAATCGATCGGAGCAATTGGATCGCATACCGGGCCGGGTCCGGGCCCAGGGCCTGTCCTCTCCGATTTCGACCCGAAAATGCCGAACAACATCGAAGTGAACCCCACGCGCTTGCTCCTCCTCTCCTCCTCAGCTCCCACCTGGGAGGCGCTGTGGAAGCGCTGGCGGCGGCCGTTGGTCCGGCACGCGGCGGCGGAGGTGTCCGACTTTCGCCTGGAGACGTACGGAGAGACAGACCGGGGGAAGGCGTCGGGCCGCCGGTGGTCTCTTTGGGCTTGGGCTTGGGCTTGGGCTTGTGCCACCGCAAAGGCGGAGAGGCGTTCCCGGAGGCAGGAGGCGCAGACGCCGGCGCCACTAGTGGCGTCGGCCGGGTGTTTCCTGCACCTCATTCACACAGTAAAAAGGGTATCGAGATTTTGTGAGCGTGTGTATACGCATCTGTGTGTGTGAGAGAGCGTAAATGAACTCTCCGTGTATATGTGAGTGTGTGTTTGGCATCCTTTAATTGTGGAGGTTGGAGCAAAGTTATGAAATAACCCACAAACTTTAATTAATTTATTTATTTCTAAATAGTAAATATTTTAAAAGAAATTGTGA